AATACATCTGTTATCTTAAAGAAGCCTCGTCTCAAGTCTTTTTATTTGGCTTTATTGAGACGTGGGAAATAAAAGGTGCCATACAATACTATTTACAATTACATACACAAGCTAATTCTTACAGGGAAATACAGTAATTCCTATATATACAGCACACACCTAACTTACCTACTAACCAACAATACTCCACAACACGCAGAAACACCCAGCAGGCATATGTTCCACCCATGCTGCTTATGTTCCTTACACTGTGCTGACTCATTCCTAGTCAGTTGCTGGCAATTAGCTCATTAGCCATGAGCTCCGACTATGTGGTTTGCTTTGTCATTCTCTATGTTATTCACACAGGAAAATTCCTTTGCTTATGAGTACACCCTAACATAGTTCCTTCTCGATAGTCATCAAAAGAATTACACTGTTATTATGACTTTAGATACCTCTGCATGAACACAAGAGAGAATGTATGTGCGACTGATTACAAACATATACATGAATTGTAAAGGTCCTTGTTCCTTCGATTTCTCTAGTGTGAAAGGGCATCTGTGCCTCCACGACTTTCCTAACACGAGATGTTCTTCTAAGGATTTATGGCATAAAGTGGCACCCTCTGATGCTCGTCTCTCAGGAATTAAGCCATCCCCCACTCTCTTACCTTTGGAATAGAGAAACCACATGTGTTTACATTTTTCGCTGTTTGCCTGGGAACACCAAACAATAAGACATATCTTGAACGTAGAATTTCGTGAACCACAGCATGGGTGTAAGGCAATTTCCCCCGATCTTCATAGCAGATTGAGTCAGAGGAACCCAAAACACTCGCCATCTCGTTGTAGACTTTATCTGGGTGAAATGGTAGAAAACGACATTGCTGCATTTCAGCTCAAATAAACCACCCTATTGCAGAGGGTGTTAGAGGTGATGATCTCTACAATCCTTTCCAGCTGCATAATGCTACTACAAGGTGAGATCCATCTGGTGAGGTCCCATTTACTACGAAATGGATCCAAGAACCCACTGTCATTTTTGGGGCAATACGTGTGATAAAATGGCATGGAATATTTTCTTTAGGGCTTAACATCTGATTTCATATCTCCCATCTCTAAACCCATATTTAAAGCCTTTGTGCATTAAAAATACTTCATTGTTAAAACAGTAAAATGCAAACCCAAAAGGTGATAATATTTAATACATTATCTTCTTGTACTTCATGCATTTAACTATTACATAGTTAAGTGAACTGAATACAACCACCACAAATTAATAAAAAGAACCATATGTTAAGTAAATTCTTATCTGGAGTTAATTCAATCATTGATTTTTTCATTAAAATTGGAGCATGTAGTAACATAATGTGTCATCTCTCATTTTTATTACATTTCTTTATATATATTGAAGGGCATTGTTTTGATACACAATTTTACACTCTCTCATAATGTGTGGGCATGCATGTGACAGTGCACTCTATC